ACGGACAGAAAGCAAATCATCGACAGCCTGTGATGGGCGTAGAGGGTGTGTGTGGTGGTGGCTGGTGAAAGTAGGAAGACCAATTGCAAAGAGTTGGGATTGATGGAAATGTTCCATATCTTTTTTTTTTTCCCCATGCTAGCTGGTACAGGGACAGAACTGCAGACCTCTGGTGTTAGGAATGTTCCATATCTTGATTGGGTGGTGGTTACATGCAATTTTCAATATTCGTCCAGTTGCACACTTAAAACGGAGACATTTTATTGTCACAATTATACCTCAATAAAGGTGATGTAAAACAAAACATAAATAACAAAAAGAGCAAATACCATCATGCCACAATGCTGCTCAAAATCTTCCCACAGCTTCCCTCTAATAAAATCTCCACATTTCTATCTCTGCTCTCATCTCTTACAGACCGTCTCCCTGTTCTTTGAGACCTCAGGCTTGTCTGCACCTCCAGCCTCAGCCCCAGCTCTCCCCGCTCCTGAGCGCCCTCCCTCCCGCGTATGTGAGCTGCTCCCTCCACTCCAAAGGTTCCTCCTCAGATAAAAGTAGGCGCTCTCCTGCCAACTCCTCCATTCTCTGGCTGCTTCATCCTCCAGTTTCATTTTCCCCATGGCTGTAATCACTTTCTGAAATTGCCTGATTTGCTTACTTAGTCTCTCACCACCCTCTAGAATGCAGGCTCCAAGAGAGCAACTTCCCCACTGTATGGTGGGCACCTAGAATGGTGCCTGGCACGCAGCTGGCCCACAAATACTAGCTTAGTGGATGAGAGAATAAGAAAACACACTTGTAGTCTAGTTAAGAAATAGAAAAAATAGTCTGATTGGTTTCTAGGAATTGAGTGAACAAAAGCAGCTGGCCAGCTGCTCCAGTCAGGAACAAGGTACATTGCCTCTCATCTCTCCATCACCTTTTCAATTGTAAAAACAGTTTAATATCACCAAAGAAAAACTTTTTAAAAATTTAAGTCATTTTTAATTCCACCACCTAATAGAAGAACTTTTTCTCTATTGCCTTCCAGTTGTGGCCCACATGCATACATTGCTGCCAATTATAATGC